TAGTGTATAATTTAATTTATATGATATTGATATATATATATATATATTCTAATATGAATATTTATTAATGAGACTTCATATTTATACGATTTATATTCATTTGTATCTTACTTGAATAAAAAAAAGTTAAACCATTGATCAACAGTTTTTAATGTGGGAGTTTTACCATTTTTAGTAATTTATAGTCATTTCAAAAACTTCTAAATATAACATATAAGAAAAAATATAATTTTTATTATATGCTTAATGTGATTGTTCAATTCTTTTTAATAATATAAAATTAAACAAAAACAAGAGAAATGACAAAAAATTGTTATCAAATATGTATTATTCATAATCATTAATTGTCATATTTATTTTAATCATATTAGGTAATTCCGTAGCTTTTATTTAAGGAAAAAAGAAGAAGATTATTTTGTACACTAATAACTAGTTTGATAGTTAGTTTAATAAAAAGTATAAATATAATTATATGGACCAACTTATTTTTATAAGGATTTTGAAAGTTATCCTGGTGATAACACGTGGCTACGAAAACATGTTGTAATGTTCTAGAATTAATATATAGAGGATTTCTATATTTTTCTAACAAAAAATAAAAATATTGTTCCCAAAATTTTCATTGTAAGACTTTTAACTGTTTTAGTGATTTATTTCCGTTTTAAAAAATTTAAATATAAAATATAAGAAATTTTTTTTATTACATAGTTAATGTGATTATTTTTTAATAATATAAATTAAACAAAAGGATGGAGGATACAAAAATTATTAATTAATTCTTTATTATTTAAAATTATTAATTATCATATATATGTTAATCATATGTGGTAATTGCGTAGACTTTACTTAAGAAAAGAATGAAGAATATTCTTTATGCACTACAAATCATTTTGATAGTTAATTTAATAAACAATATACTTTATATTTAGATAGACCAACATACTTTTCTAAGGATTCTAGAGTGATCATATTGATGACATGTGGCTACACTTAAATATTGTAATGCTCCATGATTAATATATAGGGGATATGTATAATGGATGATTTGCTTCCTTAAACAATTATTAATTATCATGTTTCCAATTTTGGTTTATGTTAATTTATCTTCTGGTTATCCTAATCAAAATTAGTTAGATTATTTTCTAATATCGGTCTAGTTCTTAATTCTTATGTCAAATCATAGTATTGTACAGTTTGATTTATAAATCTAAGTCACATTGTTAACTTAAATTATATATGTGGCTTAGATATAGAAAGTTAGATTGGTTCTACTAATTTTATATCTACATGTTATACTATGATATACACACAATATTATGACTTTTATGTTGTTTAAGGTTTAGAGTTTAGGGATTAGTTTTACAATTCATGATTTTTCAATCATCATAATTAATTTCAAATCAAAGTATTATAAAATTTATTTTATAAATCTAAGTTACATTGAACGTTTAACTGATATATGTGGTTTAGAGATTAAGAAGAGTTTGTATTCGTTCTATTTATTTATGAATTTATGACTACATATGCTATTTATGATATACACATGACATTATAATTTTATGTTGTTTAGGGTTTAGAGTTTAGATATTAGTTTTCCATACAGTTAGGATGTAATATTTATTATATATGGTTTATGTTTCATAAGGAATATGTTACACGATAATTTATGTCATTTAAAATTTTTGAATATTATGATATTTGGTTAAGTGATAACCATTTATAGTGCGATATACAGTTTTGATATTGTTTCTAACAACCACACTTCCAATATATTTAAAATAAAAATTTGACAATATAAAGGAGAATATCCTAATGTATATAATCGCTTAGAAATTATTGTCACTATAAATCTTTAAATTGAGTAATTACGATAAAATTACAAATATTCTTAAATCTCATAGGTTAAACAATCAAATACTTATATATATATATTTACACTCATTTACAATATAATCGTTTGACTCTCTTTTCTCCGCAACAATGTTGATGATCGTGGCAAGAAATGTTTCATACTATATTCCGATGAATCTATTAGAAACATCCAATGAAACTCAGAAAATTTGTGTGAATATTATCAACAAATGGATTATGTACAACTCTAAAGGGGAAAATATTTTGAGTTAGTCCTTGTGGAGGGAAATATAAGTTTTATTATTTTTACTATTACTTTCCAAATGCAATAAGATTTCTTCACGGCATATGAAATACTAATGCATGTATTTGGAATTTCATAGGGTACCAGATTACACATATTTATTGAAAATAAACATGTACAGAAACATAAAATCTTCTAAACAAACGACAATCTTTATCAATAAACGCAGTCAAACTAAAAGAATACGGTGGCGAGTTCATGACTAGTTATTTTCCTTACAAAGCGTTGATTGATTTTCCTGATTATGTACCTGAAATGTATTTCTGAGTTTGCCTATCTTGTCTATAATGGTGTAGGAATGGAAAATTGGCAGCTATACACCTTGGTTAGTGTGATATAAGAATGTTTAGCGAATTCATATGTGATGATATTTTCATATCTTATATTTGTAAAAATTTCATCGACCATCTACATTATAAATTTCTTAATATACAACTCAAATAGTGCAAGGAAATGAGATCAATTGTGTTTTTAATATTTATTAATATATATGGACAGTAAATATATTATTTTTTACAATGTACCCAGAACACATATGGGTATAATATTTTAAAATAAAATTTAAATTTTATAAATTCTTATAATTATATAGTTATCTTATACAATAAAGTTGGCTTCTCTCCTTTCTTAGGATGTGAAGCTCAGCATTTGTGAGGGGAGCAAAAAGAGCATGTCAACAATCACCCAATTAAATAATACCGACCAAATTTTATCAATCAGTCTCGGTTTAAATTGGTTTTCTTTCTGCGGTTTTGTGGTTCATGATGGGCTTTGTTTTTGGTTCGTACATGGCCATTTTTAAAAGGTATTCATGGGCTTTGTTTTGGTGTCCTAGAGGCCCATTTTTTAGGTTTCTTTGTCTACTCTCTTCGATGGCGAGGAGTCTCCTCGTCCGTATTGACGCCGAACCAGAGAATGAGAATACGTAACCGCTGCCTTCTCCCATTAATGTCTCTTTTACTCTCACCTTTGGAGCCTTGACCACAGTTCTACAAATTCCTCTTTTAGCTTCAGGTTTTTTGCTTTGTTTTACTTTATTTTTTACTATATATCTAATTATTGTTTCTGAATGTGCAGGTGATATACCATGATTTTGACCCGCTTTTGGTCATATTTTCTATATGTTTTTATTATAATTATCTATGTTTTGAGTCTATTAGGTATGTTTTCAGGTTCAGGAGCATTTTGTCGTAAAGTGATGATTTAGGTGCGTTATGGAGCTTAAAGGAGAGTTTTACAAGTTGACTATGAAGATCCGACATTGAGAGACACATATCGTTCGATACACACCTTGTGTAATCGATCGATGACGATTCCGTAGAAGTTGAAGTGGCGATACTCCATCGATCGATGTACTCAATGTACCATCGATCGATACAGAGCGTGATGAGCAAGGTTTACTTGGCCAACTTGAAGCCCAAGTTCTCACCAAATTACAAGATTTCCCCTGACGAGTTTTTAACCTAATTGTACTCTGTATTTATAGCTATATCTATGAGCCTTAAAAGAAAAAGGAAGTTTTGAACCAAGTTTTGTATTCTATTTTATCTTAGCAATAAAAGCATTTTCTTTTCTACTTATTCTTTTGCTATGAATCTCTTGGCTATATCTGAGTAGATTCATATGTTAGATTTGGTATTCAAATAGTTATGAGGGATTAGCCCCAACTTTGGATTGTTGAGTTGTTACATTCATTATCCAAATGAACCCTAATGCTTACTCTAGACTTGCTACCTAGAGTATTGATTATGGAGTGACTAATCTAATAGTCATCTTCCTGAAATCATTTGGCGAAACCCAGACTATATTAAGGCACGATGCGACAGCCGGTCTGATAGAAGTTCTCGGGTGAACACAGTTTCAATCCGATCTGATACTTTATATCGATCGATACTCCTCTAGATTTATCGATCGATACTCCTCTAGAATTATCGATCGACGACAGCTTATATCGATCGACACTGCGATAGCAACATTGATCGATGCAGTCGGTAATCAGATAAATGGACGAGTCTAACTAGCGACAGCTATAGATTTGTCTAAGGGTTGAAGTTCTCATATATTTGCAAGCAATTCGTTAAGACATCCATAGATTTATGATCCTGATTTTCTGAATAGTAACCTTGAATCTAACTACTTTCTTTCATTGTTTTCAAACCAAAACCTATTTCCCTTAGCAACTTACCATTGCTACTTATTTTATTTACTGTTTTAAACCTTTTTCAACCTAGCTTAATCACTTAGGATTATATCTTTTGTGACTCTAGTTCCTTGTGGATTCAATCCCTAAGTAATGCGATTGAACCTCTTATTTGAGAGAGTAAATCACTCCTTAGGTTAAACATTTGAGTGACATCAGCAGGATAGAATGACAAGCTAGATTGAGATGCTTCTTTAGACAAGTTTTACAGTGGAGTATGGATTATGACATGAGCCAAACTATGAAAAAATCATTCGTGGGCTGAACAATCCCTCTTTTGGTCTTTCTTTTTTAACAAGAATTTTTTTTTCCTTTCGACTTAATATTTACTTCTTTTTGTTTTAAACCATTTTCTGATTATTTACTTTGTTTTGGCTTTGACAAGAAATCCTTTTGAAAAACAAAGGAAATAGCATCGGAGAATCAAATCACGCACTAAAAGCAGACAAAAGAATGCTGCACAAGTGGTCCTCCGCTTCCTTTGGATATATCATGGTACTAAATTGTGAAAAGAATCGAAGTAAGGGAACAGTCAAGAAAACTGACATGCTTTTATTTTATTATTAGAGTTGGGATAGTCATGCTGATGACTTTATTTGGAATATTTTATGATTGATGTTGTCGTTATTTTGCTTTTGTTTTCAGGAAGCTTATATAGCCAACGTAGAGCAGCTTGCTAAACTCAAACAAAAGCATGATGAGAATAAAGCACATGTGAGGTTACACTGCTTTGGGTATGTGCTTATTATTTGTATAGTCTACCTTATATGTTTTTGTGCTGATGTTACACAGTTTTGATTTTCCTTCAGCCAAACTTGGCAAGATGCAAAGTAAATCTTTAGAAGGCTTTGAGAAGATGTATTCTCTAAAGTCAGTTGATAACTGTACGGCAAGTGTTATTTTCCTACCAGTTTATTTTTGAAATCTGCTACACACTGCTCATTCATCCTGCTAAACAATGATCATATTCCTAATTACACAGCTGGTGAAGCCATCAGACATCCAATGGACTGTAGATATGCTATTTCCTGAGATCATTTTGTGTGTTGGAGATTTATAACAATCACTTAAAGTGCAGACTGCATTGTTCTGTAAAATCTTAAATGAGCTATAATATTTTTTTTGTCAAAGCCAGCCATGTTGATACGGAAGTTTGGTCAATCGATATTAATTGATTAGACATGGAGGCAAGAAACATATGCAACACCATTAACAACCTGTGTGAATTTTTTGTTCTTTGACGTCAAATGTTAACTGAGTTAAAGGACAAGATACACTGTGTTACAAGCCAGCTGATGGAAAAGGCTAGAAAGTATGATCCTTCTGGATACTTCCTCACTGAAGTAAGAATGGTTTATTCATTTTCGTATCTTTATATGGCTAAATTAGTTTAAGTCGTCTGTGATTTAACCACATGCTTATTTGGTTGTTTAGGATATATTCCACATCGATTTAAGGAATCCTTCGGAGACATACTGCAGCAAACCTGTTAAATTTATGGAACTCAAAATTTGAAACACTTAAAAATGGAGTTCCCTAAGTAAAAACTTCATCAAGCTTTGATTCCAGCTTTGGATACTTCCTAAATTGTGTCCGCTACCGCTGCAGTTGTTTCAATGGAAACAATGATAGCTCCTCCATGATGAATTAGATATGTTCGGTGGTTCATCTCAGATATGATTTTTGACATTGATACTCCTTGTGAGGCCTCCGGTCATCTCAAGGTATACACTTTTTACTCTAACCTCTCTCTCTCTCTCTCTCTCTCTCTCTGATAGTATATTAACCAAATTGTAATCTCTATCTTATTAGAGTTTGATGTCATTCTCGCGAGCATCACCGAGAGGAACGTCTTATCCAACGTGTCAAAGATAGTATATAAGAACAAATCAGTGAATGGAAAAGACGATAGGAATATCGTTGAAAAATGATTCTTATCTCTAAACTATGATTCTTATGTTTGCAAATCGAAATGGGAACCCAAGCTGGTAAAATATCTCTTCTCAAACGTACTCTTGACCAAATCCATGTGACTGATGAACTAAGACTTACTAGTTTTCAGGTGAATAAGTACAATTTGTTTTCCTCTTAAAATATTACCATAGAGTAGCTTTTTGATTGCGAAAACTCATTTGTGTTATAGAATTGTACATGTCTATTGGCTTTTAGTAAGTTACAAGTTTTTATATGGAGATATATCACACTCTCTATGTGCAGGATTGGTTTGCTTTGGCTTAGAGATACAATAGTACTGTTCTCATCCGGCTGTGTCAGGAGTCTTACCTTTGAAGCTGTTTCTTTATATGTTGGACGAAGCACACTATCTCGGTTCCATGGAAATTTTATTAATGTAAGTTGTGCCTATCATATATGAATTAAAATCTCTGTTTATATTTTAAGTTTGAGCTAATAGTTGTCTATGGATCCATAAGTTTTTAATAGGTTTGGAGCCTAAATCATTTGTAATGTGTCCAAAAGCTTCCAGAACGTACTTGAGTTGTCATTTCTCTCATTTGCAGGGATCAATTCCTTATCTCGGGTTCTTAAACATTATTGTGAACATTAGTTTAATTCGCTAGAAGTTTTTTTGGCGTACTCCCATTAGCTTACCAATTATGAATATGTCAGTATCCCCTATTGGTTTTTCTTCTGTTGTAGATATGGGCTGCCACTGAAGGTGGAAACTGAAAGTGACATACAGTTCAATGTTATCCTCTCATTGGGTTATTACATATATATATAATGTAACTAATGAGTTTTGACCGGCTAATTGGATACAAGCATACAGGTTGATAGTTCTGTGTCTGATGTAGAAGCCAAGGTGGTTCTGCTATGCTTCTGCTATGAAAACTAATAAATCATTCAGTACCTCACCTGGTTGGGAGGCAAAGAATTTGCCAAGCTGATTAAAAAGAAGAAGAAAGTAACAAGAGTGTGTAATCAAGCTAGCAACTTAATTTACAAAGTGAGGGCATCATTGTTTAATTTATGTGCGCGTATTCATTGTTCTCATTTATATTCATTGCTATGGAAAAAGTAGCCATAATACTTTCTTTTTGTTAAGCCATTTGTTATGTTCATTACGCTGCTCTGGAGACTGTTGTTCAACATTTAAAATAATTGAAAATCAAGATTTAAAAGTACAATCTATATAGAAAATCTAATAGTTCAAAATGTCAAAATTAAACTAAATGCAAGTATAAACATATGACGCAAACTTGCCAATCTTGGTTTCTGGCTTCATTGCAGATGAGACTTTGCAACCAGACCGGATCACCAAAAAAGAAGCTAAAGTATTCCAGAAAACTCTGACATAATTATTGGACCAAGAACTCAGCCTTTGCACGAGATTGATGATACCGAAAACTAGATTCGGTAGTTCTGTGAAACACTCCGGATGCAACAAAGTTTGTCTAGTTTCAATAGAAGAAGACTCAAGGATAATATTTGCTTAAAGCATATTACTCATCGATTCCACTGCCAAAATCTCAAATCAGCAAGACAGCAACATGCTTAAAAACTTGAAGAGGAGAAGGCACATAATTGTTGGGTTGGAATATAAACTTAACATATTTCTCGATTGTTTTGCTCCATTTAATTATATAATTGTATATGTTATGGTTGTTCTATGTGGAAACTGAGAATCGATATTTGATTAGACAGGAATTATATACATTCGTTCAATACAGACAATACTGAAAGACTAAAGAAACTGAGTTACTTCTTTTAGTTTTAGTCTTCGAAGATAATTTTTTTTCTAGATAACATCTCTATACGATTTGATTCATCTTAATTTTTAGATTATTAATGGGTATACTACATGTTTAAATTATTTTCGCTAAACTACATGAACCAATGTAATACTTTATTAATTTATAACACTATTAATTTTTAAAAGTATTTGCAAATAGCATGAGGAAAATTTCCAACAAATAATTTTGTTATAAAACAAAGTTCAACAAATGCTGAAATAATTTACAAAACATAATTAGCAAAACACTAAAAATTAAAGAAAAATCATTATAAATTTAAAATCTAAACTAAACTGAAACAAACATACATTTTAAAACATCATTTTTTGTTAAATAGTATATAATTATTGTTTTTGAAATTATTTAAAATATTTATATATTCCTATAAAATAAATTTTTTAATTTTATCACACTACATTATATTTTCAATTTATTTAGCTTAGAGGTGGATTAAGTTATATCGTGAGAAACTTAATTTTGGTAATAGTATTAAGATTATACTTTTATAAGTTAAAAAAAATATTAGTTAATTCTTATTTTAGATTTTCGTTAACTATATCAAAATGAAACAGAAAATAAAAAATAAATAAATATAAATGATTACATTTTCTTAACTTTTAAATTTCATATTTGTGTTCTCTAAGAAATAAAATGTTAGCGGTTTCCTTCAACTAAAACTAACAAAATTTAATAAAGTTACAAATTTATTTTAAAATAAAAATGTTATATTTATCATTTAATTTAATATTTTTACTGTAAACTCACCCGCCCGCAGGGCGGGCCAACCACTAGTATAACTATATATTTTAGGTGTTTACAGTCTTTCTTCAAAATTTCTATGGGCATCTAAAAAAATTAAAATGGTATAAAATTGATTGGAAGTTACACATATTGATTTGACCGATTTAAAAATGTTTAGCGAATTTATACATGTTGATATTCTCGTATATTATATTTGTATTCATTGCATCTAACATTGACGATTTTAGGACCATAGGTAACCAAACTTATGTATTTGTTAAAATTCAACTAAAATAGTGCCATGAAAAGAGATATTTTTTATTGTAAAATGTAATAACGTATATGTATAGTAAATAAGTTATTTTTTAAAAAATGTACTTGAGATTGATATTGAAAATATAGAATTGTAATTAATTAAAATAGAGTAATAATTCTATAAATTAATAAAATAATGTAGTTATAAAACAATTTATTTTAAGAGCTTATTGTATTTGTTAAAAATGTTGTGTGGGTTTCTTAAAAATTTGAATCGTGGACCAAAAATTTTTAACTCGTGTGATTTTTATGTTCCAACATAATGAAAAAGTAATAGTGGGTTTGAAATGATTGAGCTTGAAATGTGGTACCGTTCAGTTTGCTTCTCTTTTTCTGTTGAGTCTGACTTTGGCCTATTGAATAGTAATAGATTGTATTCCATAAGTATAATAACATGTGAAATAATAGAAAAATAGAGTTTGCAATTTTTTTTCTAAAAAATGTTTAAATTGGGCTATGATAAATTTAAGGTCTGGTTGAGAAATTAAATATGGAAATAGGTTAAACAAAAAGACGAAATGTAACTATTTATTGCCCAAAATATTGATCAGCTTTAAACTGTGTTTTAACGTTTTACTTTGTCAACTTAAGAAAAAGAAAAACTGTTTTGCTTCAAACTAGGGGCTCTTATGAACAGCAACGATTGTGCAGAGAAGACTAATCAGAGAGCAATTATTCCTTTACTGCACAGAGAAATCAAAGTGTTAAAGTCGGAGATGCACAATTACGAAATTGGGTTTTAATTTTTCTTTCGTGATTGAAGAAATATTTGCTTACATCAAGTTCGTCTCCCTCCGGTGAAGTCATTGGTCTTCGCCGGTTTTGTCACTGTCGGATGTTAGACATGTAACAGAAAATGTTTGGTAATAACGTAATGTTAATTTGGTTGATTTGCACCGCAATTCTTCTCTAACGCACAGATAACAATAAAATTTCATGTCTGGTTATAACTTCACATTGGGGGAGAATTCAATATTTCAATCGATTTTCGTTTCTATACTTTGGATTAAGGTTCTGAAAAAAATGTGAGATCTGGTTGAGAGGAGACCTAGCTCTTCCGCTTCAAGGCGTTTTTGTGTTTCTTCTTCATCCCATGAGTCTTTTTTATTTCATCGCCCTTCCAAACGATTTAAGGTGAAGATTGATGTGTTTTTTAACCTATGTGTTGCTTTTGCTAATATTTTGAATGATTGTTTTGTTTTTGTTGGTATTTATTTAGCATTATCTGTTTTGTTTTTGTTGGTATTTATTTAGCATTATCTGTTTGGTGGCCTCTGATTTAAGATTTAAAGTTTTATTTGTTATTTTGCTGGGTTTGGTTTGTGTGAACCTATTTACTTAGAGGTATGTTTTGTTTGCAGTTTTGTGGTTTCAGCTGCACTTCCTACATTTATGATTTGATATAAAATTCAAAACCAGAAGCAACTCAAAACCAGAGCAATTCCTCAAACGCATAGCTGGAGATAGTAGATAACATATCGGTTGCTGGTCCTTGTAAACTTCTCTGTAAACAATGTTGGCTATTGTTCTACGCCTCTCCCCATTTCTACTCATGTCTAAGATCTTCAGTCCTGTGGGTGTAGTGACTCTTTTCAGTGTCATGTATAGCTTCTGAAGACCTGTTTACGCAAGTATAGAGACACGTTTGTCAAAGTCTGTCATTGGCTTTTATTACAGTCATTGCATAACAAACCCGGATCGGAAACT